TTCATAGGTTGTACATTCAAAACTCCTAATAGAAATTGTAATTAATTGAGTTTGTGTATGTGTTTAACTGACTTACACCATTTCATCTTTCCCAGACCGCGTTTGATCTCCATGTCTGGCGTAAACAGGCTCTGTGTGAAAAGAAGAGGCGGACTGACAGTATAGGATTTGTATGTTGTTGAGAAGATTATATCATAATCACATGCTGTAGGTGGAGTCATGTGATGTGCGTTAGTCATATCGGTGTCAGGTGGATTGACTTCACAGTTCGCCGTTAGTCAGAATAGGTGAACCTCACCTGTTTGAGAAGAAAGCAAGCCCCAACATGTTCAGCTGCTCCAAGTGGACCTGTAGCTGTAATAATAAAGTGTTTCTTATTGCTGGATGCCCTGTTGAATCCATTCATATTCCCTGCTGCAGCATCAGTATAGAGTTCTATTTATGCATAGATGCACTTCACTTTAAGTTAATTTGTTTAAAAGTGGTGGAAACATCTGACAGCAAACACATCATCAAACTCTCAATGCTGTTTCCTCGGGTCCACATCTCAACTAGGATCAGTTCTCTGCCTCCCCACTATACAGTAATGTGGGGCAGTCAAAGTAGGTCGATTTGACCTGACTCATCTCTGGTATTTGTGGTATCTGGTTGTGTTTGCTTTGCTTCCACTCCCGCAGTAACCCAAGCATACAAACTACGAACATGTACCTCCCCCTGCAGGATGCTTCTGGTGTGTTTGGTTTAAGATTTTAGTGGTAGCTACCACTAGATGGAAATGGAGCCATGTTTATGATTCGGAGAAGTACAAATTGTGCTAACAGAGGTGAGAGATTTCAGATTGCTTATGATGGTAGAAGTATGCAAAACATTTAAGAGATTATTTGCATGACCTAAATAATACTTACTGCTATTTTTTTACAGTAGTATTGCTACTAGTATGGCTGCTTCCTATGCTATTGCTTTATTTGTTATACATTGAATTACATACTTTAAATGGTTTTATATAAAAATAAAGAGGCCAGTGGAGCGGTTGGTTAGCATTGTAGCAAGAAGAGTTTAACTCCCAGCTGAGGCACTTCTGCATGGAGTTGTCATGTTGTGGATGTCCTGTGTATGATGGCTTTCCTCCAAGTACTCCAGTTTTTGCAGACACTGCAGAAGCATTTATGATAAGTTATTTAGCATATGCCAATTAGCCCCTGAGAATGTACTTGAAAGGTTGTTTGTCTCTTTGTTGGTTCTGTGATGGACTGATGACCAGTCCAGGCTGAACCTCTCCTTTAATGAAAACAATGTTTCTGGCTCAATCATCCAGGTAGATAACAACAAAAAATGTTAAATCATGTCATCTGGACCACTGGATATAGCCACCAGCTCCCTGTGACCCTCAACAGAATCAAACAAGGATGGACAGATGATGATATAAGTAAAATTCTATTTTTTTTTTTAATTATTAATGAGATTGTTTAATTTACCGGTAAATACATTTTAAAATTAATTTAATGATTGTGCTGGAAGTAGAACTAGAAGTACTACTCATATGTTTTACAGTAAGTTAAAGCGTCCTTGTCATATTAATTAATTTTAACAGCAAAATGCTTTATTAAAATTAGCCCCTAAAGTTAACTTCAAAATAAAAACAGTATTTAGACATAATACTCAGTTTCAACATTTTTATATAAATCTTTTCAACCTAGGATTGTAAATCCTTATTTACTGGTCAAATATGATAAATAAAGACACCACCATCCATCCATCTATTCATTATCTTTACCTGCTTCTTCCTTTCTGGGTCACAGGGGTCACTGGAATAAGACATAATTAGTAATTTTTCTAAGTTCAGTGAAGAAACTATGTGGAAATTTTGTTCTGAAATGTGATATATTGAAAAAATTAAATGCTAAAAATACCTCCATAAGTGTTGCATTATGTTTCACCAGAGTCTGGTAATATAGACTGGTGTTAAACTTTACAAACAACACGATTAGCCTAAACACTGTTCACATATGTACCACTGACAACAAGCCAATCCTTCCACTGCATTTTGTATTCACAGAAAATAAAATCTGTCGGTGACATTTTAAACATATAAGCAAACTATACTTATCACTAATTTTTTTTTCTGTTTTTAAAACTGTGAACCTATTTATTGATTCTTCAACTGTTAGTCGGACTTCAGCCATTTGATATTGTATCATTACCGCCCAACAATTAGTTTGTAAAGACACATTTCAGACTAAAAGATCATCAGTTCTTAACTGGAAAAAAAACAGCAACATGTAATTTTTAGGGTTTTATTAGAAACTTCTACAACTTAAAAAAAAAATAATCCCAACATAAAAATGTAAACTCGAGTCTTAAGTGTATATAAATAAATACTGTAAATTGTCACAATATCACAAGCCATGGATTTGCAGTTCTTCCCGAGGTTCCTTCAACCTCGTTTCCTTAGTCCACCGACGTACCCAGATAATTTCCCACAGCAGCAGTTCCTCTCTTCAAGTCCTTATCTGTCCAAAGAGCCAGTCCAGGGGGTCTTTGCCCCTGCAGTCTCGTTCTCTGCTCATCTTGAGTGAAAACTCCTCTGTGCTGTTTGTATTCAGACTAGAGGATCTGGAAGTCCTTGGTGTGAGTGGAGACACGCGAGCAGCTGAGACTGAGCCTGAGAGCTTCATCTGAGCCTTTGAGAGCTGCCGCAGCCTGGAGGACCTCTGCAGTAGTCCTCTGACAGGGCCGTAGCTCAGGGCCTCATCAGGGCGTGCAAGGGCTTGAATACTTGTCATGTAGTCCTCTTGGGAGTGAGGGGTCTGGGTTGGTTGGATGGATGAGGGATGGACGGGCAGGTCCTCCAGCGTCTCAGTGATGGTGGGTAAAAGAGACAGCGACAACAACAATCTTCTACTTCTCATGCTGCGACAAAACAGGAAGAACAATCCAGTTAGCATTAAACACAATAGTTACAAATCTGATTTTTATTTTTTGTTCTTTATTGTCTTTTTACTTCTAATTGAAAAAAACATTGAAAAGGTCTTAAAATTTTTTTTTAAAAAGTTCCTAAGGAGAATCATGCTCACCTTCAACGCTTGAGTTGTAGATCTGGAATGCAGAGATTAACAGATTGATGTCTAATCTGCGCAGCCGAGTGTGAGTGGACTGCAGCGCAGAGCCAGGCTTTATAGTGGGGGCTGTGACTGAGTGATTAGCGTCTGCTGCCAAAAATAGCTGCGCTGACCTTCCTCGCAGCAGTGTGTGTGTTGGAGGGTGTGTTCCTGCCTGCTCAGGAAACTCAGGAGTGGTGTGTTAGTGGAGTCCAGCGGCGCAGCTGTGTTTACACTCCAGAAACAATGAAACCTTGTAAACACCTATAAGGACCATTTTTGAGCTTCTTCTAGTTTGTCTTAGACATTTTTGATTGTATTGAGTCTGTCAATTAGCTGCCATTTTTTATTGAAAACAATGAAAAAACATTTAGAGGTGAAAATAAAAGAGTCAACCTGAAGTCTTTTAAGCAAACTAAGAAGTAAACATTGTAAAGCACATTTAAACCTTGAAGAATATAGATTGCTTTTTGTTCTATATGTATTTTTTTTTATTTATTTAGACTGAATAAAATCATCCTGGTCACTTGCTTTGAGATCTTATCTGTTTTCTCCAGACATAATGTATTAAGATGTATTACGACGTTTTTTGGTCATTATACATTTTAAACGTTTGTTGTGACAGCAAGCTGTTGGTGAACTGGACATACATAAAAATGACTGGTTTGGGGCAGTTTCAAACCATATGCAAAATGATTTAATGCCTTTTTATATTGTTTCAACGGAAACTTGAGTTCTAAAATCATTACATTTAAACGGTTTACACTTAACATTAATTTTAACAGAATTCCCTTTCCTCTGAACCAGTTAAACACATAGCAGTCTTTTTTATAGGTATTTCTCAATATTTCCTTTTTTAATTCATTAGATTATGTATATTTAAAAGCCCACGGGCTAAAAACAAGCTTTGATGTTGAATCGCCTGATCCAAACGCCATGCTTTCAAACCTCTTTGGTGATTAGATCTCTAAGATGAATCCATTTCTATTGGCTAAACATGTATTAAAGCCCTGTATTGTATTGTAGGATGTTAAATTATTTATGATGGTTGTATAACAAATAATTTTAGTCAAGAAAAACAGTCTGCTCAGTGTGACATAAAGGAATGACAAAACTTGCAGTTGTGCTGTTTTCTCTTTAAATTCAATTCATTTTATTTATACAGCGCCAAGTCACAACAGAAGTCACCTCAGGGCACTGAATAGAAACATTCATATGTAAAAATAATAATTTAACACTATTTATCTGAGGAGCAGACTGCATCGCCGAACTCTCATCTTGAGCAAGCATGAAGGCGACAGTGGAAAGTAAAAACTCCCCCATGAGGAAGAAACCATTAGCAGAACCAGGTTCAGGACAAGTGGCCATCTGCTTCGACCGGCTGGGTTTGAGAGGAACAGATACACAATGGCAGGTCAAGAATCACATGTTAAGATATAAATAGTATCAAATAAAAACTATTCAATTTTAACAATTACTTTAAGGAAATGAGGTAATTTTGTCCTCAAGTAGTCTAAGCTTAAGACAGCATAACAAGCCAACCCTAATTATAGGATTTATCAAAAAAGAACGTCTAATGATTACTGATTATATATAATGATCAGTTTAATGATTAAGGATTTGCATGCAAAATAAAAAAAAGGTCAAAAGACTTGTGACCTCAGACCATTCAGATCAAAATGCCATACTATACTTATTGCATGTTTATATGACTTTACTTTCAGTTTTAAAAGTATTATTTTTTATACTCTGATCACGTACACCACAATGGCAACTTTTCTTCCAAATTTAGACTTGTGGCTTGTATGAAGTCCAACGCCCCCCACCCCCCTCCTCTTTTGTCTACGTGACCCACAACAGTTGCGCCTTTTTTCCTTTTTTTTTCCCGCGGCCTCCTCAGACATGACTTCACCCTCAAACTGTAGAAAAAGAAAATGGCGGGCTCAAACCTTAACGACTTTCTCCAAGATTCGAGAGTTCACCGTGCAGCTGTATGCGACTGTGCACGTACACCTGACACAGAGCGGCTGTGGCAGCCGGCCAGCAGGATTTCCTCTCTGAACATGACTTCTTCATCTTGCTATTATTATTTTTGTCTGTTTCTCTTTGTGTAGGAGAATGGAGAGCTCATCCTGGAGGGGCTGCTAAATATCTACTGGGGTCTTCGCCGACCAATAAGGCTTCAGATGTTTGATGACAACGAAAGATTTCGACTCAACAGGTATGAAACGCTCATCTGTGCTTTAACAGGTCTCTGAATCTTGAATGATAACGCTGTTTACGGGGAACCTTCTAATACATTAGCTGAAAATGTCATGCATTGACATGCTAAATCACTATGACCTTTTTATTTGGAAATCAAAATACATGTAACATAAATAAATATCTATATTTTCATATATACTACACTGAAATGCTAATAGAAACAGATATTTTTGGCCTTTTTGATTGGCGAACAAGCCTTTTGTTTCCAGACTTTAAGTCAAGTGGAACTAAGCTTGTCGTGGCTTCACATTTATCTAACTGATATCAGCTCTTTTAAAGCTGGCAACTAAATTTTATTGTAAAATTATCCTTTTTACTTGATAAATATACATCGACTCTATCCAT